CTTCTAAACCAGGCTCATGCCTGCATTCCAGTACTTAGGAGACTCAGGCAGGAGGACTGCTATGAGTTCAAGGCTACCTTGGCTATATAGTGAATCCCTGCTTTTGTTTTTCCTTTTTTTTTTTTTTTTTTTGTACCGGGGATCGAACACGGGTCCTTGCACTTGCGAGACAGGCGGTGGAACCATTGAGCCAAATACCCAGCCTGTTTTACTTATTTTTTTAATAAATTTTATCCCATTTCCTCCCTCAATCCCACTCCCAGGGTTTTAGAATTAGGAATTTCATACAACGCTTACAGCCATAGCAATTTAGCAAGACCCTGTCTCAAAATGAAAAAGGGCCGATATAACTCTGTGTTGGAGTTCTTGCCTAGTATGTATAAGGCCTTCAGTCTGAGTACTACAAGAGCCTGACTTTTGTTTTTCTATACCTACACTGGCAATTTTATTGCAGCTAGACCTCCATAAACTAGTACAGTTGTGTTATAAGTTATAAAAAATAAAAATACTCAAGACCACTAATTCTTACCGACTTTTAACAATAGAGGGCAGGATCTTAGAGATAATCCAGTTTGACGTCTTCATTTTATAGATGCTAGAGAAGTTGGTTGCAGTTTGGCAACTCTCATAGGTGGTTCATGGCAAATTTGGTCTAGGTCTCACTTCTACTCTGTTCCTATGTCTCTACACAACAAACAGAAATCCATCAATTTAACATAAAATATTTCTGCTTAAGATAGAGAACGATGCAGAGTAACTTGACAAATATTTTATACCTTAGTTTTGATTTTTACCTTTTAAAGACATATCAAAGGCAGTCAATGCAGAGATATTCTGCATTTGGAAGTCTGGGCTGAGAGGTTACACGTGAATCTGAACAGTTTGTTTTATTAGCTTTGCTTTAGATTTCCCCTTTGGGTCCCTTTTTTGTCCTCTTATCTCCTACACCTGAAATAAAGTGAGGAAATGAAAAAGAAGGTACTTTGTTCAGAAAAGAAAAGCATCGGGGAGGAATGGATTTCTTTATTTATAATATGGTTTTTGCAAGGGTAGTTAGATGCAAGCTCTCAGGCACAAAGACTGTTCATAGTATCTGAAGAGGAGTGCCTGTGTCTAATACCGAATGTCAGATGCTCCTCAGGAATTGAACTGATCACTATTTTAAGTAATCTTTCTATTTTAGCCTAAGTTTAGATTTACAGAAAAGTCTTTTGTGTCCCTCATTCCCTCATTGTTAGTATCTGACGTTACCATGCGATGTGGAAGAAACAACAGTCATGTGTTCCTATGAACTAGACTTCGGACTCGATTGTACCGGTGTTTCCGTCACCCTCCTCCTGTCCCAGGGTACCGTACTACACGCTTCCTCGTGTTCCTCGGTGTCATGACCTTGTATCTTGAGGACTGGGCAGTTGCCCCAGAGACTGTTCTCCAGTCTGTCATTTATCTAGTGTTCTTTACATGATTAGTGTGGGGTTTTGGGTCTTAAGTGCCTGTCTTGTTAAATCAAGGACTACACGATAATCACAGGTGGTGTGTGCTTACAGTAATGTTTGCCAGATTTCTTGTCAATCAAGTTAGCAGTTTTCCGATTGCAAACTTTTTAGGAAGCGAGTCATTAAATCCAACCTACTCTCAGGAGTGAAGGACAGGAATTAAAGTCCACATCGGGGGTGCCTGTATTAGTAGAATTTTTAAATAAAGATTACCCCATTTATTTTTTTTGTTTATGTGATTATGGCTTTATGAGCATGTTTTATAGTTTGGGTTATAATGCAGCACTACATTATTTTATTGGCTCAGATCATCCCCTCTTTAAAAAAAATTTTTTTTTTTCTTGGTACCAAGGATTGAACTCAGGACCTTCTGCTTGTGAGGCCACTGAGCTAAATCCCCAGCCCAGATCATCCCCTCTTTTGGAATACTGTCTAGTTTACCGCTGTGAACCTCCTACTTCCTTGCAGTCTGATACTGTAAGATGCTCTAGGGTTATCTTGTAATTTCTCCATGCTAGCCCTAGAATCATCCATTTTTCCAAAAAGTCCTGGTTCTTTTTATTAGACTTATGTAGAAATTAGGATCTGGGCTTTATTGGTACAGAGGTGTCATTGCTTCTTGGCTCTCACGATGAACATAACTACGTAGGTAATATGTGTGTATAATCTACTCTGTGTACATGTGTCTGTTTTTCTCTAATCATACATGTCTTTTTTTTTCTTTGAGAGAGGAATGAGAGTGGGAAGAGAAGGGAGAGAGGCAGGAGAGGAGAGAGAATAAAAAGAGGAAATCAGGAAGAGGGAAAGAGAAATACAACATATTTTTATACTAAGCTAATATAATTGAGCTGAGGTGAATTTGATATCACCAGATTCATTTTTGGCTTTCTTTCTGACACATCTATAACTTTTCTGTCTGAAGTAGAAGCCTGGTTTCTACTCTTAGTCATTTATTTCTTGAGCTCCCAAATATTGTCTAAAACAGTTGAAAAGTTTTGTACCTGTATCCCTGTGAAGAATAAATTTACCAACATGAGTGCAGTATTTATTAGAACGTGTGGTTTCTTTTATTTGTAGCCTCCAGATTTAATGTTTGCATTGTAGGTTAGGGTCCGCTTTTCTCCCTCTAAGGGCCTGTGCCTCCTTTCCTTCAGTCTCACCCTGGTTGCTTTTCCTTGGCATTTTGATTACCCATGTCATTTTCTGAGACTACTGAGATGAATTTTGTCATGGAAAAAAGCAGAATAATTATGCAGCAAACCACATGTTCTTAAGATGAACTCCCTGGTGTAGGATGTGTGATTTTTAAATTTTTTATACCAAATACTGTGCAAGGTTTCTTTATTAACAATATTTTACAAATCACACCATGTCATGTGTCCTTATGTGGTTAATCAAGCATGGGTGACCACAGCAATCCTAAAGGGACACATTGTAGTGTCTTCCACATAGTAACTAGAACCTGTTCTGTTTGGTTTCTGATATCCCTTAACAGTTCTCCAAAACATACTTCATCCATCCTTATTTTGTGAATAAGTTTTCCTATCTTTTTTAGTTCTCTACTTTAGCTAATTTATACTTCTGAGGTGAGAGCCTTGTAGGGAAGCCAGGCCTGACTTTTATTTACCACACCACAGCTTAAAATTTATTTGACTAGATACAGAAAAAATAATATGTACATTTACAAACTTAATTTGTGGACTATTTCTGTTTTTAGTCTTTAGTCAACTAAAAGTTGTCTGAGTTGTTTCATATTTTAGGAATTTTGATTATTAATGTCTTAAGATGTTTTTGAGCTCTGGTGATGTAGTTTTTTCCTAGGTCTCTTTTTCAGTGTAGGAAGTGGTTTAAAATAGCTGCCTTGTGCTAATGCTGGAATGTTCCTAGAAAGTAAATGTGTTTCTTTGAATCTGAAGTCTAGAGCATGTTTGGAAAGGATTCAAGAGTTGGAGGACTTGCTCGCTAAAGAAAGAGACAACTCTCGTCGCATGCTGACTGACAAAGAGAGAGAGATGGCCGAAATAAGGGATCAGATGCAGCAACAGCTCAGTGATTATGAGCAGCTTTTGGATGTGAAACTAGCCCTGGACATGGAGATCAGCGCGTACAGGAAACTCCTGGAAGGAGAAGAAGAGAGGTGAGGCCCTCAAGAGTCACCCTGCCTTACCCACCTCTAGTTTCTACTCCTTTTATTTAAGGAATAGTAACACATTTGTAATAATGAAGGCAATTCTGAATATTTTCTCTCATTTCTTGAAACAGCAAAGTATAAATGTAGTATTTCTCCTTCAACAGAAAATGTTGATCAAGGAGTTTTAGTTGAAATTTGGATACTGGAATTTGTCAGGATGGACTCTTGAGACTGTAAAAGTTCCAGTGATCTAACATGCTGGAGAATATCGAATTTGCTCAAAGACTTTATAGTTAGGTACACCTCAAATCTGGTTAGCATAAAACGATTCAAGTTACTACCGTTTTTAAAAATAAAACTGATGGGGGCATCTTAGCATAAAGAAATACATGTCTTCTTAGTTAAGGCGATGATCACGTTGTCTAACGGATTGTGGCAACGGCTCGCTTTAGCGACGCCTGTCCAGGGTGCTAACCCTTCCGAGGAATTTTCGGTCAGGCCAGCCCCGCATACCTGAGGGGTGGACGCGTCTCGTCCCATGCAGGCTGAAGCTCTCTCCAAGCCCTTCCTCGCGCGTGACGGTGTCCCGAGCGTCCTCCAGTCGCAGCGTGCGCACCGCTAGGGGCAAGCGGAAGAGAGTGGACGTGGAAGAGTCCGAGGCGAGCAGCAGCGTCAGCATCGCGCATTCGGCCTCGGCCACCGGGAGCGTGTGCATTGAAGAGATAGACGTGGATGGGAAGTTCATCCGCTTGAAGAACACGTCCGAGCTGGTAAAACAGGCTCAGCAAGGCTTTACAGTTTGCTGGGCTCTTATGTAATCGTAATAGGTCCTCACTTTTATTTGCATTTGGTGAGTTTTCACAGAATGAGGTTTTCCTTTCTCCGCTTTACTTAAATTCACGAAATAAAGTAAAAATTAAAATAAGCCGAGGAAGAGGCGTGGTGCCCCTTATGGTTTAAAATTTTTCTTTGTTAACCCTTCTTTTGCAGTCTGGGGCTTTTTCACATTTGATCCTTTCATCACAGTGGCCTTCCCAAGGATGAGTATTACTCTCTGCTACATAGGCGGAAATGTGAAAACATTTTGAAGGATTTTGTGAAAACAGTGACTATTCTTTCATGGGGATTAAAAAAAAAGCTTTATGAAAGAAGGAACTGAGCTCAGGCTCACATATGTTACAGGAATATTTTTGTATAAATGGACAAATGGGGGGCCGGGGATTTAGCTCAGCGGTTCCGTGGCCTGCCTTGGAAGCACAAGGACCCGAGTTAGATCCCCGGTATCCTCCCCCGCAAAATAAATGAACAAGTGGATGTTAGATTTGATTTATATTAAAAGTAGTAATGAAGCCCTATCTTGAAGTAATTTGCTTAAAAGTTTAAATAAGCATAACAGGGATTTCTGAAGTTAGAGTGTGGTTTTTCCGGACTCTAGTTGTCCTGGCGGAGGCTTTGAAACTGTGAGCTGATACTGGAAGAGAACAACATTCGGGGTGCAGTGGGATGGGTGTCACTTCCTAATGTGTATATCTAGGGTCTGCTAAAAATTACCAAGAACATCACTCCTGTTATAAGTATTACACCTGTCTTCAGTATAGGTGAGGAAGAACTTGAAAGAGCAAAGGAGCGCTAGCATTTCCAGTACTAAGTTGGATATAAATGAATGTAGCTAATTGCTTTACTGTCCAGCACTTTTCCTCCATCGGGCAGCTCTGGGATCTGGGGGCCGGAGTTGGTAGTTGTCAAGTAGGTCTAGCTCATTGCATCCCTGGCTTGGTTTCGAATCTTTTATACTTTGAGATAAAAGAGCTAAATAAGGGCAAAAGCACACAGATATAGGGAACAAAGGACAGATTTTCTTTTGTCTCTAAGCTATTAGAGCTATCTCTTAAAAGCTTAGTCATCAAAGACTAGGTATTTGTAATTGTGATTATAGCATTGTGTTATATATACCTGATTTGGCAGTGAATGTGACTAATGTGGTTTAGTTCACACCCGTTTTTTTTTAGTTTTGTCTTCTTTAAAATTAAGTACCTTGCTGGTTTACTGTGGTGTTGCTGAAGTTACTATTTACTGAATGACAAAAATTGTATTTTTTATAGTAGAAAAATAAGAATTATGGGACGATAGCCCTAAGATAGAAGAACTGTCTTAATTTAAGACTCATAGACTCATGTATTGAACTGTTGCTTAACCTTGTTTATATTTAAAGTAACTTTGTTCTGTTTTGTTCTGTGAACAGGATCAGCCAATGGGAGGCTGGGAGATGATCAGAAAGATTGGAGACACATCCGTCACTTACAAGTATACCTCACGATACGTGCTGAAGGCAGGCCAGACTGTTACAGTAAGTGAGCTTAGTCACCTTCTAGTTTAGTTTTGTTGTCTGAAATAACAAATGAAGTAGTTCAAAACATTTTTGACCTACAGAGAAGCATTTTAGAAATGGGCATTAAAACATCTTTCATATTATTAAGGCATTACAAGCGCTATCCGAGGTTTTTAAAATTCTGTCTTATTGAGTGGTGAAAAGATTAACCTTTGAATTCTTTTTATCTTGTCTAGTCCAGTAGATATAAAATAGCTGGTAGCCTCATTTAATTCAGGAGGTATTGCTTAGCTTGAAGAACTCTTAGGAATTTCACACTAGCGTGGACCTAAACAGCAATCACTAATGACCTGGGATGAGCTTTGAAATTATGAGTAATAATTGGGTGTCCAGGCCTTGTCTCGCCCTTAGGTGTCTGTCTCTAGGGCCTGTATGTTAAACAGTCCCTCCACGATGGCCCCTAGCAAGCGTGACTCGGCTTTTTCATAGGTCCTAAGGCTTCCATTTGAATACATGGGCTGGGCAGCATTCTGACTGTTTTGACTCCCCTGAGGTGCGTCCTACCTAGGATGCCACCTCTAACTTACTCTTGGAGAAGCCGGCATCACTGAGCAAGTCAGATGCTGCTTTCACATCAGTAGATTTAATGAGCAATGAAATACGTTAACCTTGATACTGCTTTTGAAGAAGATATTATTTTTATCTAAAGAATGGAGAGGTGACCATCTTTCTGAATGAATGTGGAACACCAGTTTTAAACATTTATAACTTTGATTGTTAGAAACCTTAAGTATTTTCAATCAAAGGCTCAAACTTCAGGTTAGAACTTCTCTAAGTATAGAGTTTGATGCCACTTTGTGGAAATATCAGGTGCTAATTTTGTAATGATGACCAAAAAGTGAAAACAAATATCTTAACCACACTGTCCTTCTCTTTGGGGATTATTATGGTGAGAGAAAATTGCTCAGTCCCATTAATTTGTCTTTTGGAAGCTGTATACTGTGAAAAGAATCTGATGTTTCACTTCAAAACATTGAGATTTGAATGTGCTTTCTGTCTCTAGCGATGTGGAACCACTATGCCAGTCACCTACTCTCTGAACTGGTTATACTACCTCAGGGACTAGATGGAGGTGTAGTGTTAAGTAACTTAACTCATTTCCATTCAGCACCTCACATTAAATGTGAATAAGCTCTTTGGGATACGGTAGCGATAAGCGATGCTTCTTTAACACTGTGCAAGCCATAAGCAAAGATCAATGTAAAATTCTAGAACAGAGACTTGAGAACCCTAGATTTAACTTTAAATTTTCCTAGCCAGGCGTGGTGCTTCTCTAGCGATGTGGAACCACTATGCCAGTCACCTACTCTCTGAACTGGTTATACTACCTCAGGGACTAGATGGAGGTGTAGTGTTAAGTAACTTAACTCATTTCCATTCAGCACCTCACATTAAATGTGAATAAGCTCTTTGGGATACGGTAGCGATAAGCGATGCTTCTTTAACACTGTGCAAGCCATAAGCAAAGATCAATGTAAAATTCTAGAACAGAGACTTGAGAACCCTAGATTTAACTTTAAATTTTCCTAGAGAGGCGTGGTGCCTCACGCCTGTAATCCCAGCACTTGGGAGGCTGAGGCAGGAGGATCACTGTGAGTTCGAGACCAGCCTGGGCTACATTAGTGAGTTTCAGGTCAGTTTCAACTACATAATAAGACCCTGTCTCAAAAAACAAAAACAGAAATAAACAAAAATCAAAACCCTTTGAATTTTCCTGTAGCCACATTTTAAAAGTAAAACAGGTATAAAATGAATTTTAAAACTATATTTTACTTGGTATGTTCAAAACATTGTCATTTCATTGCATAATTATAAAAAGTTACCAGTCAGGAATGTTACATTCTGTCTTTCTAAGTCTTTGAAGTTTGATATATTTTTACCCTCATAGCACATTTCCGTATTAAATGTACTGAGAAGCTCACATAAGGCTGCCCTATTGAACGATATAGTTCTAGAAATACTAGTTTTAGATTGAATCACCATCAAAATCAGACATTTTATAATTATTAGCATTAACCCAGTCTGTGTGATTCTGTTTAGATCAGTAGAAATTGGCCTAGATCCAGTTCTGTTTTTCAGTTTCATCCCAGTAAATGTGACTATCCGTTTGTGGTAGATGATCTGGGAGCTTCAAATAAGTATCTGAAAAGTAAGGTTCTCTCCTCATTGGTATTAAATATACCTGCCATCTCTACTGTGTAATAATCAGTGGAGGGCCAGGGATGCAGCTCAGTGGTGCCACACCTGCCCAGCAAGCACAAGGTCCTGGGTTAGATCTCCAGCACCCCCCATTCATGGATTGCAGGCTGTTCTGTTTTTTCATATGATCTTTGGAGGAGATCAGAGCTAGGCATATCCATATAATTTAGGAATTGGGGCTCCTAGAAGTGTTGTAGGGATTTATCCAGTGTCTAAATCTAGGTTCTCTGACTGCCATATTTTCTCCACTCCACTTACTCTTTTCTGCCAATAAATACATTAAAAATAAGGCAGACTTTTCTATGTTGAGAAAGGAAATTATGGTTTTTGTTTGGCCTGTTTCAGTAGAAATTACATTTTACTTTGAACAGTGGGTGATTTATTCCCCACATTCCACACTCCAGCTGGAGATAATAATGTTCTAGGTGTGCTCTCTGGTGTAGAGGGCTCACTCCTGCTGTGGCACCCAGAGGGCACTGCAGAAGGGGATCAGAAGGCTTCCCCTTGGCAGGATGGCCACAAAACATGTAGAATGTTAGACGGCTAATACTGAGTGGGCCCGCCTCTTGGTGTGCTGGTCAGCCTTGTTCACAATCCCACCTGTTATTGGTACCGTTTCTGTCCCATTTTATGGCTGGTAAAAGTAAGGAAACTTTCTCAAGTTCACCTCATATGCTGGGTAATTAGGATGCAGCGCAGGCAGCTTCATATCAGGGCCCTATGTATCAGCAAGTTAATCAATCAGATGAGGAAGCGGAGGCCTCCAGAGCTCTGGGAGCTACTTAACAGCAATTCTGAAGGTGGGGCAGGGTTCACGTTTCACCATGTTGCTGTCAGTGCCATAGGAGAGAGGTTGATGTTCTTTCTCTTTTCCAGATTTGGGCTGCAAATGCTGGTGTCACAGCCAGTCCTCCCACCGACCTCATCTGGAAGAACCAGAACTCTTGGGGCACTGGTGAAGATGTGAAGGTTATATTGAAAAATTCTCAGGGAGAGGTATGGTCCTCTTAACAGTATTGCTGCTATGTCAGATTCACTTGAAAATTCATCATGCGAATATGATTTCTTCTCAAACTGCAGTATGAATAACTGCTTAAATCAGATCAAGGCTGCTGGTGAGTAAGTCAGAGTGAGTCAAAAGTGTAAGTTTTAGGATGAATGTTCGTGTATCACAGAGGACATAGGTTCCAGAGGCCTATTGTGGCCCTGTGTTGTTTTGTCTTCACTGCACATTGGCTTTGTGACTTTCTGGTGTGTGCATTTTTAATATGTCACTCTTAGAATTCTTGTTACAGAACCTCACCTTCTGATGTTTGCATATACACAGTCCTTAGCAGTAACAGTCTTAGAAATACCAGTCTCTGGTCAGCAGCTTTGGAGCTGGTGAGGTGTGGCTTTATCCCTGTCTCCCCCTAGTTAACGGTGTACCCAGGTGCTCTAGAAAATGTGAGTGAGCCTCTGTTCAGAGTCTCACAGTCCCTTTTCCTTTGTTGCTGTTGCCACAAGCATGTTCATAAAACTTACACTGTGTGGTCTGTGCCTCTTGCTTTTCTCTTAATTGTCACACAACTTTACCATCCCTTTTTCTGCTCTGAGAGCCCTCGTTGGCTTGCTGGGAAGCCCTAGGGAATTCTTCATTCCGGTGTTCTTGTTCTGATCTGCTCACCCAGCCTCCTGGATGCACAGGCTCTGTCGATACCCTGGGACGGGATCAGGCGTGCATGTCAGTCTGAGTGACGCTGAAGTCCGGAGAATGTCATGGTGACAACCCTGACAGGGAGGCTGGCCGTACTTGGACGTGCTGGGCTACTCACTTGTAAAATCCAGATGATCTGTTGTATGCCTGCTACTTTGTCCTAAGACTACAGAAGGAAGGAAGGAAGTCACATAGCGTTTCTGTTGTCATGAACCCTCTATTCTGGAGGAGTGGGGAAACCAGCAAATAAGATAAAGTGTTAAGAAAATTCCTGAGAAGTGCAATCAAAAGATAAGCTGTGGTATCTTAAAATCACCGAAGAGATTTATTTTACATAGAGTGGTCAAGGAAAGTCACGCTGAGGAGGTAATAATACCAGAGGCTAAACTGAGTTGAGGGAATGGGCAAAGTAGAAGGACAAATGCAAAGGTCCTGAGGCAGGAACGAGCTCTCTGTTTTGTAGGAAAGGGAGCCATGACTAACAGAGATGGGGTGAGGATGAGGTTGTGGAATGGCTTTTAGCAAGAGTGATACGAGATGAACAGGATGGAGGAGGAGCTTCTGCCGCTGTGCAGGTTGTTAGGGGCAGAGACAAAGCAACTGAGGAGAGTACCTTGGGTTGCGAGGTCTTTCTGTGTCGAAGAGGAGCCAACTACTTGAAGAGATGTGTGGAAAGTAGACCAGGTAGGATGTACTGATGACGTGGTTAATTTGAGGGACAGTATAGACAGCAATTAATCTGACCTTTAGTTTGTTTGCATGGATAACCAGATGGTCGTAGTCCTGAGGAGTCTGCAGGAGAAACAACAGGCTCGGCAGGAAGAAGAGTTAAAGGGACATAAAGAGACTTCTGGCTGCATGAAGTCTGAGATGCCAGTAAGGTGTCCAAGGGAAGCTTTCTAGAGGGCTGTTGAGTAGCTGGAGATACTTGGGGTCCTCATCACAGAGGCGGCATCTAGAGTTCAGGTACTGGCTAACTGGAGGAGTTTGTCAGTTGAGAAGAGGGCCCAGAATTAAACCCTAGAGAATACTTCACATTTCTAGGAATAAGTTAGAGCAGAGAAGGGAAAGGTGCAGCCAGTGAGTAGCAGGAAAAGCAAGGAGTGTGATATTGGGGAAGCCAAGAAAGGAGTCTCTGAAGAAGGCAGCAGCCAACAGGTCTAATCAGTGTCCTCGAGCTCCTCTATCCGCAGAGGACCAGTGGTAGACCTTCCTGGCATTTAAATGTCGGGGCTGTGCATGGCAGAAGGAGCACAGCAAGGGTGGGGAACTGTTCCGATCATCTTGACATTGCGCCTGGCTCGTAACACATTCAGTCAGACTGGACGTTCACTTAAGTTCTGAGAGAAGGTGAACAGCAGCATTTGTTATGGGAGTCTGAGGGGTTTGCATAAGAAGTCCTGCTCCGTGGCCATCTTGCCATCCTAACCTTGGCTGTAAACAGGAAGAATTTATTGTCGCCCAATCAGGAGTGCCCTCGATCTCAGAATGACAATGAAATGGCATCTGATTTTTTTCACTGTAGACCTCAGAACAGTTGTGATTTTAGGATGTATCTGGGGATTCATTTCCACATGCACTGTGTTGTCGGGGCAGGGGCAGGGGCAGTGCACTTACAGACAGATGCCTTCAGTACTTTACAGACTTGAGGTCGCTGGCTCTTCCTCCTGCTCTCTGCTGAAGCCCTTGCGTACTTCCCTCCCCCAGTAAGCGTTTGGGAATCCTGCTCAGCTGTGGTGGTGCTGCCTCCCAACTGCTGGAATTACCTGCAGCTCTTACGTTATCACCTCTCCCTGATGAGTGAAACTGGCAGAATGTGTGTCTCTCGAAACATTGCTAAAGAGTGGTGATTTTGCTCAGATCCGAAAGCACTGTTGAGTAGAAATACATAAACAGGCCTTGAGCATCGAGTTACCATACCATTTTTTTCCTTTCAAAGAGTTGTTGCAAATTAGAACAGTTGTATAGGAAGGAGGATACTTGGATGCGGTAGCAGATACGATGCAGAATATGTCTTAAAGCAGTATGGTGTTACTATAGACATTTCAATAGAGCTACCTTGATTTGGTTACTGTTTATTGCTGAGACAAAACTCCCAACACCAAGAGTTAAAGGAGGAGAGGTTTATTCAGCTCACAGTTGGTAGAAGTTTGTCCATAGCTGGTCCTAAGGCAGAGGGGCATCCCCGAGGAGAAACGGTCCATGGCAAGTAAGGCAGCAAGCAACAGCAGCGGGCCATATTAGTGTTAAGCTACAACCGTCCTGGATGATCACATTTGTGTAAGATTATAGGTAATTGGCTTGAGTCAGTTTAGTTTTTTTTATATTTATTTTCTTTTTGTTGGGGGATTGGGAGTGTCAAAAAAATCCAATTAATCTGGCTTTAACATACTGAGAATTTCTAAAGAGTGGACTTGATTTGGTGGCTCAGTGTCCTCGAGGACCTGTTCTGTCTCTCCTTCCAGGGCTGTCTTCCTCACGGACGCAGGATGCTGCTGCCTGCTCCTCGGGAGCATCACTCTCTGTGGGAACGGCTTCCTCCTCCGTGGGTCACACACGTGCCCCTCTGCACAGGAGCACTGAGGCAGAGCCTGGGCCCTCTTCCCCTCTCCTGGGTTGTACATGGCTCCTTACAACACATACGTGCTCCATGATGGCAGAAGGACACCCACATAAAACTGGGGGCTCCTATCTCGGCACAGAGGGTGAGGGTGCTAGGTTATTAAAACAGCACACTTCATCATGAGAAGGTATTTTCCTATGAAGAAATTAAAAGTAGAAAGCAGTCCCACCGTACCTTCCGTAACAGACATAGCTGAAGCTTTGGGTTATGTAAATGATTATTTATGCATATGGATATATATAGCCGTTGACTTTCTATCAACAAAAAATGGCCTTAATTTATAGCACTTGCTGATTTCTGTGGTGTAAATACCCTAACTGGCTGATTGCAGTCCTGCAACATGAAGAACACAGAATTGCAGAGATGAGTTCAGTCAGCTGGTGCCAGCTGGCCTCAGGGCAGCACTGAGCAATGTAACAGTGTGCTCTTAGTGCCCAAGGCTCCGAGCGGGAAGGCAGGCCGGCCAGCCAATAGTGCATCTAATGGGGGAGTGAAAGCTGTCATGCAAGGCTGTTTTACAGTACTTTACAGAGTTTGAATACTCTGCTGAGGGTGTGTGTGTGTGTGTGGTCTGTTAGTATCTTGACTGATAATTTTTTGGATCTAAACTGTTATTTAGCTGTTGTCCTCTCCAGATCTTTAGACATTATTTAGCACACGCGTTTTCCATGCAGGTTTTCTGCATTAGATTAATTGCTTTTTAAATGTTTACAAATGAAAAGAGCTTAACAGCAGGCTTACATGTAACAGTAGTTGTGTTGAAGTAACTCATACTTAATGAAGCTGGACAAGTTGCTGTTTTCTAAGCTACTCATTGAGGTTCATAGTCTTAGAGCCAGTACTGCACATAGGATATATACCCTGCCAGGAGCTGCTGGAATGCGAAGATCTATAAGATACCTTGACTCTTTCCTCAGTTTAAGATGAGTTGAAGTTGGATATTCTCAAAGCTTTTGAGCATCTTTATTTTTTCTTGTGCTGTTGTCCTATAGTTGCTGTCTTAATTCTATGAATTGTAATTGCTCTGAGGACATGCTTTTTATTACCGCTAACTCAGTTGAGAAGATGAGTTCTTGTAAAATGGCTGCAGTTTGAAAGGCAGACTGATGTCACAGAATGTCTCGCTGAGAGGCCCAAGATGGCTGGCCTTCCCAGTCCTGCACCAGTAATCACAATTCATGCAAAATCTGTCCTGATGCTTTCATTTGCAAAATATATCCTTAGACAAATGTCAGATTGAAGCCTCATTTCGCTCTGTCTTTTGAGACTGGCTGTTCTGTGTTAAATTTCAGGTAGGTTTTTGCAGGAGTAATTTTACTGTCTTCTGCTGCAGAATTACTGTTCTTGAGTGACCTTAGGACAGTACACAGAATAAATCGAGATGCTCTGCAGCACTGTAGGACACACATTTACCAGCTGCCAGATCATCAGGTTAGCCTGTGCTTAAACAGAAACACTGCTGCATTCGCGCTGTGTCAGCATTCTCTGCAGCAAGGCGATCTGTAGTGGAGCCTTTTAGTAGAAAATGGAAATAGTCTCATTCTCTTATACTGTAGTGAATGATAGATCTTTCTGGATACAGAATGCACTGTGACTTCTCTAGTGTGTTATTAGTAATCATTGCTAATGTGTCTTCATTCCAGTTCTTTTAAGAGAAACCAGCTGTTGATAGAATGAAAGGGGCCTTTGTCCTTTCCATCTCTGCTCAGGTGGTCGTGTGTTGCCAGTGTTTCCTGAGATCCCAGCGTTGGCCTCCAGCTTTATTTTACTCAACATTTATTTAGCACCTACTCTTTGCTAGGAGCTAAGATCTTTAAGCCGAATTCATGTTGAGTTTTATAAAGAATTCAGTGTGCCAAACCATTTGCTCAGAATTCTTAGTAACAGAATAAGACAAAAAGCATTGGAAGCTTCTCAGCAGGTATTGCAAATTGGATACCAGTGGCTCCCCTACAGGAAAATTAAAGGTCTAATAATTGCTACTAATTATGCAAAATTCCAGTTCAGTAGCTAAGCTACCAATGGAATGCCTTTCATTTATAAAATAATAATCCTGTTTCTTAACAAAGAAAAGATCCCTCTCCCCCTGTAGTCATGTGATTTTTAAATATGGTTTTTAACCTAAATTATCTTGTTTTTAGGAGGTTGCACAAAGAAGTACAGTCTTTAAAACAACCATACTGGAAGAGGAAGAGGAGGAAGAAGAGCCATCTGGAGTGGTTGTTGAGGAAGAACTTTTCCACCAGCAGGTATTACTTTACTTTAATGTATTTAATTTTTATTAAAAGAATTGCAGGAAAACCTATCCTCTGGGGGATGTGTGTGCTTGTGGGGGGTGTGTATTTGATGAGTCAGCGGTGGTCTGTCAGGTGAATGTGTACTTCCAAAGCTGATCATTCAAGGTAGGGTACTGTATCAGCACTTGTTCTTTTCTTTTACTTTTTTCTCATTCTGTCAAGTTTCATTTTCATTTTAATAGGACATATATATGGCTTATAGATTAGCATATAGGGCTTGAGTTGCGTGCACATACACTTACATCCTGGTGAGTTGTGATTGACAAGCTTAGGTACTCAATTAGACAAATGTTTACCTATACACTTGAACACCAAAGAGAGCCAGGCCTGGTGTTGCATGCCTGTAATTCCAGCACTCTCAGAGGATGAAGCCAGGAGGATTACAAATTAGAACCCAGACTGGGCAGTTGAGCAAGACCCTATCTCTAAATTGAAAAAGGGCTGGGGATAGTTCAGTGTGAGGTTCTTGGGTTCAATTCCAGTGCTGCCAGAACTGTTCGGTTTCGATGTGAAACAGATTCCTGCTATATTAAGTTCCTAATTATTATCTAATTGCAAGATAGATTTTAGCTGATGCTTGGGCTTTTGAGAGCTCTTGAAACAAAGAAACTCCAAATTTGGTTTTAATTAATTAGAATTATTAATAACTCATGAGCTTTCAGTTTCTATTCTCAAGTTGCTTGAGTCTGATCATTAATCAAAATTCTTGTCCCTATCTGATAAGACTTCATCTCCATATTTCCATATTTATAAACTAAGTTTGCTTTGCTTCACTAGCCCTAGTCCTCCCCCACCTCCTTTTTGTGGTGCTGGGGACAGCATAGGGCCTTATGCATGCTAGATATGCTTTACTACTCTGCTATACCTCCAGCCTTTTTTAAAAAATTTATTTTGAGACAGGGTCTCATTAAACTTCCTAGGCTGAGCTTGAATCTTGGTATCTTCCTGCCTCTGCCTAGTGAGCACCCCGTCCTGTGCTAAGCAAACATTCTTTTGTGTGTTTTAACCCCTAGGGATCATTTGAAGTAGGTTATATGAGGTAAAATGAGTTTTTTTAAACCTCAGTGCTGCCTTCTCAGACATTTGGAGCAATATTTAAGAACAGGTACTTTATACTTGGATTTAAAAGAAACAAAAGGGAGAGGAAGGGAAGGGGACATAAAAAATAAGTAAAATGTATTATGTACGTATGTCAGTTCCTCATGGTGAATGTCATCATTGTGTACTGCAAATTGTACTTAATAAAAAGAAAGTAAACCAGCCAAGAAAGCCTTTAGTTAGGGTTTGACAGTCTTATAGAGGGAATCTCTCAGTAAAAGGAATCTAGACTGAAAATTAGGTATTCTCATTTCTCCAAAGTTGCAGGACTGGTCAGTCCAACTTTACATGAAAAAGCATTAAAGAAACTAGAATCCAGTCTAAGCTGAGGTTTTTCTCCTAAAAGAAATAGTAATATGAAAAGATCCCATTTCACTGCCTACTGCACAGATGGGATGCTTGTATTTGATGTCAAGATGCTTGCTTGGGAAACTCCAGGGGACTTATCTGCGATGCCACAGAGGGCCTCTAGAGGGCGCTTTGCATCCGGGGCTTCCTGGGAGGAACAGGAAGGAGCTGGGCTCAAAGACTTGAGTCCCCAGATGACAAAGTTAAGACCTGAAAGCTGCCGCTGTATAGAGAGTGTCCCCAGAAGGAAGAAATCAGTCCAGAAAGTTTGAAAGTTTTGTGTTTTGTTTCACCACTGTAGAGGAAGTTAGAGATACTGCACAGTGCAGTGCCTAGCCCAGCCCCATAGGAACTGTCCATCTGACTACTTCTGGACAGCTGAGATACCAATCCAGGCAGGCAGCCCATTACTGGAGGGGGATCCTCTACGGTCAAGCAGTGAGGCAAAGCCTCTGGTGTCAGGCCACAGTGGGGCAGTGAGGTGTAGGCAGTGACCGGCCGCTTGTGGATCCATCTGCAACCAACTAGGAGGAGGTTGGGACTAAGGATCACAATCCTCTGTCAGCACAGTTGCATGTAACAGGTGACGGCTTCATTATTGTAATCTTTGCCCTCAGTTGTCTGCCCCAGTGAATGTCTCATATAGTTTTATATTTATAATGCACAGGAATATGATTAAATCAACTGGATACAAAAAACAAGCCCATGATTCATTTCCTGCCCTTAATGAGAAGCATCATGACTAGAAGTAAAAGTGACATTATGACTTTTATATCCGAAGTGATCCGCATGAGTTTTGGAGGGTCAGACTCTGAGAAGGCTCTGCACATCACCAGTGTAGTTGAGAACGCTGGCATTGATGCTTGCTTAGTATTTCGAAGGATGGGAAGTTGCGTATTACAGAGAAGACAGTGTTCTGAGTGAAGTATCTTTTTACACATTATTGATAGACTACCCCAACTTGGTGGCTTAAAAACTGATTTATTACTTTCCACCATTCTGTGCTTTGACTGGACTCAGCTGGGTAGTTCTTTGCAATTAGGCGAGGTAGACGTTCATCCTGTAGAAGTTCATTCAGCTGGTTGCTTGGCTAGGCTAAATGAAGTAGCCTCCAGGACTCTTTCTGTGTGGCTTTTCCTGGTTCGGCAGTTTAACCCAAGAGTGTTTCTTTGTTCGTTTGGCATCACGGCACCCGGCTAAGGTGAAAATGGAGAGGACCCAGTCTCTTGAAAGCTAGGGTCAAAGCTGGCGCAGCGTCTCTTCCATGTTCTCTCAGTCAAAGTAAGCCATAAAGCCAGCCAAGGCTCAAGGTGACGATAAGTAGTCTCCACTTCTAGATGGGGAGAGTGGCAAACATTTATAGTGATCTTAATTCACTGCAGGATGTGTCAAGGTGCAGGCACCACAGTTATTGTCCATACAGTTGTAATGTCAGGTTTATGTAAGGAAAAAATGAAGGTGAAAGATTGGTGTTAAGCTGACATAAAATGCCCAGGCATGTGGCTTCTGTATAGTTTGGGTGGAGTAAAGGAACTGAGACTCAAATTTTAGAATATCACTGGGCTAGCTGAATCCAGGATTGATCCTGGAAGGGAGATTGCAGAAATGGAAATTCATTAATGCATATTGTAAAACTTGAAGGCTCGAGACAAGGAAAAAAGCCAAAGATGTATTAGGTTTTCACCGTGCATGATCATAGTAAATAATGATAGCAAAGTTTAAAAGCAGGAAGATAGGAATGCAAAACAGCTATTTTGACTACACATTGGAGGATGAATTCAGGTGGCCTCTTGAAGTGATTAGAATTTTCTTGGTGACTTTCAAGAAACCTTTTTAGTCTAATCAGTGGCAAGTCACAAGTCTAATGGTGAGGTTGTAAGGGATTAATGCATCGTAAAGAAACGCACGCTTAAGTCTTTGACTTCATTTGAGGACAGATTCAGTGCAGTGCACCGGGATTTGGAAATTAGGATGCAGAGAACCGGGTGCTTTGATGTGGTGTTCGCTGATCTTAACTTTTCAAAGAAGAAATGGAGGTCCTTGAACAGTGGTGTCCAAATTCAGCTGCATATTGGAATTACTTTTAAATAATGTACAGAGAGATACCCTTCCTAACGGCCGGGGATTTAGCTCAGTGGTTCCACCACCTGCCTTGCAAGCGCAAGGTCCCGAGTTTGATCCCCGGTACCAGAAAGAGGGTGGGTGGGGAGAGATACCCTTCTCTAGTTAAATGAGAGATTCTCATTTAATTGATTTAGGGACTTGGCGCCCCCACCCCCTGGTGCTGCCTCCAGAATCACTGTTTTGGGATGTGTTTTAGTACTCTAGGAAGAAGTCCTTAGAAGCTGTTATGTGTGAGAAGTGATAAGGGCCTATGTGAAGTTAGGTGATGGGGATTTGTAACATCCCCTAGTTAAAAGATTTTGTCTAAAATATTGTGATCCATTTTCTTACCAATCATTTTTTCTCTTTTTCTCACCAGGGAGCCCCGAGAGCATCCAATAGAAGCTGTGCAATTATGTAAACTTCTCAGCGCAACTGTCTTCCTCAGTATAAAGAAGTATGGTAATCCTGTATACAGTGCAGAGCCTTCTCAGAAGCACAGAATATTTTTATATTTCCTTTATGTGAATTTTTAAGCTGCGAATCTGATGGCCTTAATTTCTTTTTTGACACTGAAAGTTTTGTAAAAGAAATCATATCCATACACTTTGTTGCAAAATGTGAATTATTTACGCTGAACTAACTGTGCTGTTTGGAAAGGGTCTCAAATATTTTTGGCTTTTGTTTTGTAAGTGTGTATGTATTTTCTGTTTTTTAAGTTCTTATGAGAAGGGAGGGGTAAATAAACCACTGTGTCTCTGGTATAAATTGAAGATTGCTCTATCTAGATTGACAGTCTGTTCTTGACTCTTCTCTGCTATATATAAAACGGTGCTGTGAGGGAGGGGAAAGCATTTTTCAATATATTGAACTTTTATACTGAATTTTTTTGTAATAAGCAATCAAAGTTACAAATTTTGTTTTGTTTTTTAAATAGAAAAGAGAATTTTGTAAGAAGGCAATATTTACCTAATCATGTAAGCTCTCTGGATGAAGGACTCCGCAGAACTGTTTAATGGTTATTTCTCTTAGAATCTTAATTCACGAGGGCAGTGGGGTCGGGCAGGGGTGGTGGGATGAGGGAAGGGCTTCTCTATTAAAATACATTAGTTGTGTTTTTTAAGATAGCGTAACATGCTTAAATTTCTTATATGACATTAACAAATAAAAAGTTCTTTTAATATTAATCTACTGTCCTTTTTAACCCTAAGAACCCTAATATTTTGAGAGGAGAAAGTGTTTCACTTTTGCTTTTGATGAAAAATAATGTGACTTATTTGAACTGGACTTTAAGGCTTTGATAGTTGAGAAAGATAACCACAGCAGTAAGCTATTTTGGGGAGCCCCTTTATAGTAGCAATAATTGCTAATTGCTAATGTTTTTAAGCAAGATATGTTCACTGTTTCATTACATTTTCTAGTTTTCTTGTTTTGTTTTGTGTTTTGGTAGCAGGGATCGAACTGAGGACCTCGCACTCGTGTGGCAGGTGGCAGCACCACTGAGCTGAATCCCTGGCCCAAGAGTCTACTGTTCTTTAAAATAAAAGAAAAAAATTCATGAAATGCTGCTTTTTAAAGTGACTTTGAATGATACAGAATACAGGTGTGCTGTTGGACGTGGCTTTGATCCCTGTGTCTGTAGTTAGGGCATCGTTGGTTGTGGGTTAGGGGAGCTTCTGTCTTGTGATTACTTGAGTGGAGTCAGTTCATTTTGTAGGAAGCAGTGTGCCTGGGGCCTCCTTACAGTGCTCAGGTGGTATTTCAGGAGCCTGCTCAGAGCCGGCGTTTGCTTTCCTCTTAAAATACTCCAGTAAGCTGTGCAAAGACCAGCAGCTTTCACGGGCAAATAACTCACAAAGCCCCAAATTACTTCACTCCACAGATTTACTGCATACTCTGGTTCTGTCGCAGACACAAGATAAATGCTGGGTTAGAAATTCTGTCTGGTGAAGCAGATAAAATGATAACTTTTCAACACAGATTTATCTTCTGAATGAGAATGGCGATACTGCAATCAGCCAGACTCGGTTTCGAGACATTTTGCCACCAGATGGGGTTCTTGTCATCAAAATACACTGTCTGTGCTTTCTTGCTAGGTAAATCAGGTTATAAAATCAGTGCTTAGTTAGGCATTAACTCCTGGCAGCTATTGTGCAGTAGAACAGAGAGAAGAGAGGTGGGTGGCGGGTGTCACTGAGTCTGTCGGGACTAATAGGCTTTGGGCCAAAGTGCTGCATGCACCCGTGCTACTCCCGCAGAACACCAGAGAGCCAGTCAGATTAGTGATGTCTGTATCAGTGTCCGGCAGAGAGAATATATGTATTTTTTTCTCTAACTATTTAACTCTTTTATAGCAAGTATGAGTTCATTTTCTTCCTTGGCTTGTCTTCCGTTCCGTACATTTACCATATTTTTTGTATAGATACAGATTCATTTTTTTATTCTTATTCAGGTCTCGTTCCTAAAAAAATTCTAATGTTCTTATTTTGTTGGCTGTTATCTCCGTTATCCATTGCTGTCTCAGGTTTCTTTTAGACGTAGGCTGAACCTATCTTCTTTCATCTGTTCTAGATTTTTCTCTGTGCTATATTCTTAGTAATTCCTTTGCATTTTTCACTAATTCTGTTTTTAGTCTTCCCTAACCTGTCATTTATCCAAGCTACTGAGTTTCTAGTTTTAGTGACTTTTTTCCGAAGTTGTCTTTGTTTTCAGACTTTTCTGTTCCATTTATTTATTTATTTATGTATGTATGTATGTATGTATGTATGTATGTATGTATGTATGTATGTTTTTTGACACGGGGTCTCACTATGTAGTTGAGGCTGACCTGGAACTCACTGTGTAGCCCAGGCTGGCCTGGAACTTGCAGCGATCCTCCTGCCTCAGCCTCCCGAGTGCTGGGATTACAGGCGTGTGCCACCATGCCCAGCCTTATTATTATTACCATTATTATTATTATTTTATTTGTTTTGGTACTGGGAGTCAAACTCGGGACCTTGCACTTACAAGGCAGGCAGCAGAACCACTGAGCTAAATCCGCAGGCCTCTCTGTTCTTTTCTAAATGCTTAGTTTTTTCTCCTCCCCTCCCTGCCCCTGCCCACCCCTCCTTTCCCATCTCCCCTCCGCTCCCCGCAGGGATTGAATTTCTAGAGCCTGGCACTGAAGTCTATCCCTAGCCCCTTTCATTATTGTTGTCTTTTGGGTTGTTGTTTCTTTTCTTTTTTGAGATGGGCCCTCACTACACTGTCTAGGCAGGGCTCCAACTTGGCCGGGCTCCTGCCTTAGCCTCCCAGAGTGCTGTGATCACAGGTGTGTGCCCCTGCCACTATGCCTGGCTAGTTTGTTCCTTTTTTGGGGGGGGTACCGGGGTTCGAACTTGGGACCTTGTGCTTGTGAGGCAGGCAGCGCCACCACTGGACTAAATCCCCAGCTAGTTTGTTCCTTTTAAGAATGATTTAAATAAGCCAGTCGTTCTGTTTTCTTGAGTTCATAGGATGCTAATTTTCTATTCTTGGCGGCCTAATGTTGGTTTGCTTCCTCATGCACCTTTCAGGATTACAAACACAGCCAAGACAAGGGTGTCGTTTTGTGACGTCACTCCCCCCCCCCCTCCCCCCCCCCCCCCCCCGCCACCGCCCCTGATCTTGATGCTGTCACTGCAGAGGAAGAGCTCTCCGTCTCAGTCCTGCCTGCTGATCGTAGGAGTTTGGGGGGACCACCCCCAAATCGTGGGGTACGTGCCATGGTGACACCTGGGCATGGATGTCTCTGTTTTCACATTGAATTTCCACCTGCTGCTGCAGACTCCTAACACTCCTTGGCCTTTGCTCTGGTTTCGTGGTCTTGTAAGGATTTGGGGGGACTTTTGTATTCACCTCAGTCATAGGTCTTCTTTCCCACAAACCCAAAGCTATGTTTCCTACCCCAACTCTCAGTACCTGGGGTTTATATTTCACATCTGAAGTCCCTTGTTTGTGACAGGCATTTCTAGTTCTTTCTTTTAAGCTTGGTTTAATAATTAAAACAGGAATTCAGTTGTCCCTGTCAGTTTGGTCTGTCCCTCCCATGTGTGGCCTTGTAACAGAGGAATTACCTTGCAGGGCATGGTGACAGAAGCAC